CCATGCTGGCTCTCTAACCATGGGATCACAAGAAAGACTTCTGAAGGTCTTCTTAGCGTTCTTGCATGTTTATATGGGAAGATACGGTTTCTCAAATAGTCTGGACCTAAGCTGCATAATAGGGCTTTATAGGTCGACATCAGCACTTTGAATTGTGCCCAGAAACAAAGCGGTAGCTGGGAAGACTCTTTCAACAAGAGAGTTATATGCGCCCTATAAGGTTGCCAACTGACCAGGAAAATCAGTTCAGACTGCTCCTGTATCTTCGGCAATAACCAGCCTCTGATGCTTTTCCTTAGCATGTCAGTAAGGATCCCCAACTGTTAAGATCTGCCGCATTTTGTCTGAGCCACTGTTAAAGCCACAGCTATTTTTTAAAATGGCTATGCAAGCACTATTTCATTGCAGATGGAAGTTGACCCAACTATAACGGAGCACCCTGAAGGTTTGGCTCAAACCGACTGTTAAGATCTGCAAGAGATTCTTTGGAAGCAATCTGTGGTTGAGTTGCCTTGTTTCTGTTCTGTCAGGTCAAAGGGGTCAGGATGTGATTCATTTTGTAACTTTTCATTTCCAGAACGGCTTCAGTTTTCTGGAGCTATTTTATCTGTGGTTTTTGAGGTGTCCAACCAAATGACTACGGGGTACTTTCCAATATCAAAATGAAAACTCTGGTTTTGAAACGGGCAGAATTGGCTGACAGTAATATTGGGGCCGCTTTCCATCTTGCACGATACAAGAAGGGCTGCGTTTGCACTGCAGAATTAATGCAGTTTGACCCCGCTTTAAATGCCATGGCTCCATGCTGTCAAATACTGGGATTTGTAGCTTTGCAAGATATTTAGCTTTCTCTCTCAGAGAGCTCTGGGGCCACAGCAAACTACAAATCCCTGGATTCCATAGCATGGAGACATGGCAGTTAAAGCAGTGTCAAACTGCATTTTTTTCTGCAGTGCAGACACAACCAAAGTGATATGATGTTCTTTGCATGTTATGCAAGTCCCACTGCGTATCTACGCCAGCCATCTAAAATGACCATTCGCTTGACCTAGTTGGCTATAAGGAAAGAAGTGGATAAACTGAAGCCTTCCAGGTGATATTGCTGGATTGCTTCTCCCATCAGCCCTAGACAGGAATGCTGGGCAACATAGTCAACCACATTTGGAGGGATCCCACCTTTTGGGACTTTGACAACAGCCCAGATGTGCACAAATTATGCAGGGACATTGCCAAAAAATATTTTATTTATTTTATTTTTTCAAATCAATTTGACAGGTTTGTTTGGGTGATTAGAAAATATAGAAGAAAGATTAATAGATACTAATTAATAGATCTATATAATTAGATCTGGGGCATTTTGTATTATCTCTTCATGTTTTTTTTAATTAATATTGTTATTATTCAATTACTTTTAATATATACAAGGAAGAGACCCAAGGGATCATATTGCAAACCTACATTGGATAATGGAGCACACGAAAGAGTTTCAGAAGCAAATCGGAAGAAAAATTAAGTATTTTTATACAATTTTTCAATGAAGTTTGAAAAACAGGGGCAAAATTTCATGATGAGATTTTTGCATAAAATGCACTGGGGTTTATTTTTGCACAAAAAACAACAACATTCAGGGCAAAAAAGGAGCTGTATATTGGTGAAATCTTTGCAAAGAGATTCTGAAATTTTGCAGCATTTGACATTTAAAAGAACAGCACGTTTTCCCACTGAAGATGGGAAGACTAGCAAATATTCTTTACATTCCTAGCTATAGTCCAAGAGACATGGAGAGGTTTGGCCTGTTAGATGTGTGTAGCTTTTCTGCTGAGAATTGTGCTATAATATCAAGAGACGGCTGTTCTTCTGATAGCTAAGAATCCCCTTAATTCTCATGCTTTTGCAACGGTTGGAAAAAAGTCCCCCTTTGTGACTCAAATAAAGCCAGCAGAAACGTCAAAACAAGCAAATGTTCTTTTCTGTGAAAGCTGGCTGGCATCAGCGGGCAAGAAATGAGTGATCCTCAATGGTAGTTCAAGGAAGGTGCAGCAATAAGGAGAAAAAGCAGAATGGGCCCAGTCTTAGCACTTCACAATAAACTACTAACTACTAGTATTAACTACTTACTATCCAACTACACATTAGGAAGAGATTGAGAGCGGATCAGTCTCCCTTGGAAGGTGACAGAAGAGAGAGACAGCTTTGTGGAAGAGGCCAAATGAGGACATTTTGCTCTCTGCATGAATTTTTCTTTTCATCCCCAAATTCCTAGCATTGCAACAACTTTGCATTTCTTGTTGTTGTTGTTGTTGTTGTTGTTGTTGTTGTTGTTGTGTGCTAAAGAGACAAGATTACTTATTAAATTCTCCAAAATTCTCATTTCTACCTAGAGGATTTGCATTTTATACTAGGCTTTCAATAGCTGCCCAACCCAGAAATCTAGCCGATAAAAGCTTCTTTCCCTCGTCCTTTGCTTTCCATGCATTGTGAAGCTTCGCCTATTCCATCTTTGCTGAATTGCTCTTAAAGGCTCTGGAGCGGAGTCTGGAAGTCAAGTTGGCAACCTTAGGGGAGCAGGTTTTAAATCTGAAGTGGAGCAGACATGTGCGGCACCCTTTCCTCCCTTTCATAGTAAAACTCTGGGCCCCTCGGAGTTTGTAACCGAAATGGGAAACCCATCCATATGACTCAACGATGGGTTTCGGTGGGGAACTGGCCTCTTTTGAGAGCAAAAAGATACGCTTTTGTGTCACCGGAGAGGCGTCTTTTGACTCAAATCAGAGTCAGAATGAAAGAGAAATTTCTTTGTGAAGACGCACATATTTCATAGCCTTACTCGAAATTCAAAGAGGGGAGACAAAATATTTACGGAAGAGTAACGTTGGCTGTTGAGAAGCTGTTGAGGTTGCCAACTTCTCTCTTGGCATGGCACCTCCTGGGTTTGTTGGAGCCATGCGATGGATAGGAATTGAACAAGTGGATCTATCTTCCTCCCATTCCCTGGCTTTATATATTATATTATATTATATTATATTATATTATATTATATTATATTATATTATATTATATTATTTTTACCCTGCCTTTGTCCCAGCATGGGTGCACCTTGTTGTTGCCATTGTTGTGCACCTTCAAGTCATTTCCGATTTACGGCAATTCAAAGGCAAACCTATCGCAGGGTTTTCTTGGCCAGTTTTGTACAGAGGAAGCTTGCTTTCTCCTTCCTCTGAGGCTGAGAGAGTGTGACTTGCCCAAAGTCACCCGATGGCTTTCCATGGCTGGATTTTTTTTTAAAAAAAAAATTATATAGTTTTTTCATACCATGGATGCTTGAATCCGTTGATATGGAGGGCTGGCTGTATATGTTTTAACTTATGTGCATATGCTTTAACTTTAACTAATGTGTATATGTTTTAACTCTAATGATTTAGATGACCATTAACAATCAATTATATATTGTATTTAGTGTATGTTTTACACAACTTTGAGCCTTAGGGAGAGGCAGGTAAGAAAATAATAATAATAATAATAATAATAATAATAATAATAATAATAATAATAATAATAATTGCTTTCTCCTTCCTCTGAAGTTGAGACAGTGTTACTCACCCAAGGTCACCCGATGGCTTTCCATGGCCGGATTTTTATTTTATTTTATTTTGGAATTTACATAGTTTTAAAATATTTTCAAACCGCGGATGCTTAAATCCATGGATACAGAGGGCTGGCTGTATATGTTTTAACTTTAACTTATGTGTATATGTTTTAACTCTAATGATTTTGATGACCATTAACTTAATGGTCAGTTATTTATTGTATTTAATGTATGTTTTACTCTGTCTTGAGGGAGAGGTGGGTAACAAATATAAAATAATAATAATAATAATAATAATAATAATAATAATAATAATAATAATGTTTTTATGCTGCCAGGACTTCACATATTGATATGGGTGCCCTTTTGTTTTTGCTTTAAAGAGTTTTAATTTTTAAAATTTTAATAATGTAATGGTTTTAATTGTTTGGATACTTTAATTGTTTTCTAAACAATTGTATCTTTAATGTTTTGTACTGTTTTAACTTAGACTGTTTTAAATTTGTTAACTGCCTTGAGTCCCTGTACTGGGAGAAAGGCGGAATATAAACAAACAGAATAATAATAGTAACAACAGCAACAACAATAATAATAATAATAATAATAATAATAATAATAATAATAATAATAATAATAATTGTAGTTGTGAGGTTGGACCCGGTGCTTCCCAAACGTTGCTCCTCCGGGTATTTTGGACTTCAACACCCATAAACCCTAGACAGCTTGGCCAACAGTCAAGAATGTTGGGAACTGATGTCCAAAACATCTGGAAGACCAAAGTTTGGGAACCATGGAACAAATGGTCTTTTTGTAGTTCCTTCCAACTCTGTGATTCTATGATGGAGGAAACAAATTTTCGCATCCATGCAATTTTCACTGCAAAAATACACTGGCATCCTTGCATTACATCCCATCCATGCCAATTTAGACAGGAAGAAAGAAGGGTTTCCAAATGGATCATGGCCCCCTTCCTTTACTACTAAGGGCAAACCATTTTGGTATTTTTCAAGCCGCCTTGTCTTCTCGGGTGCAATATTTTTTTTTTGCTTTTCCCATCTCGATCAACTGTAGCTGCTATCTCCGGAGGAAGTGGCCACAACTAGAGCTGGCTTTTTAAAACCTGAAAGTCCGGGTGCAATAACCGAAGAACGCATTTGGGTCTGGCACTGCACCGGCCGAGACCACAAGCAGGAAATGTCACGCTTGCCATTTGCTAATAATACACACCCTTGTCTCTCTATAAAGGTAGGAAAAGAGGAAGAACAAAGCCATCTCCTGTCAAGCTTTGGGTTTTTTCTTCCCTTTCCTCTAGCTCTTTGTTTTGTTTCCAAGCCTAATTTATAAAAATTATCATAAAACAAGCATCCCAGAGCAATGCAAAAGTCAAACAAAGCAAGAGTATTTGGCAAATAGAGCCAATGTGGCGTAGCGGTTTCAGCGTTGGACTATGACTCTAGAGACCAGGGTTCGAATCCTGGCTCGGCCGTGTTAAACTGACCTTGGGCAAGTCACAGTCTCTCGACCTCAGAGGATGGCCATGCCAAAGCCCCTCTGAAGAAACTTTGCCAAGAAAACCCCAGGACAAGGCCGATATAAGTTGGAAATGACTTGAAGGCACACATCAGCAGCAACAACATTTGGCAAGAACAACCAGAGTCTGGAAAAGTTACTCTTTTGAAGTCCCAAGATCCCCCAGCTGCTGGGGCTTGTCATAAAAAAAGTAACTTTCCCAACCTCTGATACACTACTAAACTCCAGAACTGGCTTCATCTTTTCTTCCTCCAATGTAGATTGTGTATCTTCTTTCTTTTGGAAAAATGCACTGAAAACATTTTACACCTCTTTCCTTTGTGGGCTGTGTCTCCCTCTGCTGACCAGAAACTGAATAAATTCCCAATTTCCAACCAGCTTCAGCATTGGACCATGACTCTGGAGACCAGGGTTCGAATCCCGGCTCAGCCATGAAACTTACTGGATGACCTTGAGCAAATCACACACTCTCAGCCTCAGAGGATGGCAATGGCAAACCCTCTCTGATGAAACTTTGCCAAGAAAACCCCACTATAATGGACTCACTATAGGGTCGCTATAAATCGGAAGCAACTTGAAGGAACACAACAACAGCCACAAAATCTCTTTATACAGTATCATCCAAAATCCACGAAGCGGTGGATACCTTTATTGAGCTAACCGAAATGCACAAAATACATGTTGCAAGCTTTCGAAACTCCACTGGCTTCTTCATCGGGCAAAGGGGTTGAGAATCATACAGGAGCAAGAAAACTTATAAAATGGCCATATTAACCAAAATGCACAATATATATGTTGCAAGCTTTTGAGGCTCCACTGGCTTCTTCATCAGACAAAGGTTAAACATGGTACAGTAGAAAGAAAGAAAGAAAGAAAGAAAGAAAGAAAGAAAGAAAGAAAGAAAGAAAGAAAGAAGATGGATGGATGGATGGATGGATGGATGGATAGATAGTATGCTGGCCAAATGGCTGTAATAAAAGATTGATTGGTTGATTGGATGGATAGATATATATATAGATAGATGATAGATAGATAGATAGATAGATAGATAGATAGATAGATAGATAGATAGATAGATAGATAGATAGATAGATGTTAGTCCTAGCCCTGTATTTGGTCAAGATGTTGTAGTTGTTGTCCTCAGTTCAGATGTTATGGAAGGGTATTCATACAGGGTTCCAAGAGTGAATTTGCCATTGCCTCCCTCTGAGGCTGAGAGAGTGTGACTTGCTCAAGGTCACCCAGTGACTTTCCATGGCCAAGCAGGGATGCAAACCTTGGTGCACATAGCCATAACGTTGTGCTATGTGTCTGATGCAAGATCCCAGCACACAATAACAATAATGATGCCAAGAACAGGGTGAAGCAAAGGGTGGGAAAGAACTGTGGGAAGGAGTAGCCCAAGAGAGAAAGAGAAAAAATCCAGTTAAATTGGGCCGGATGCCAGGACTCAGCCCCAGCTCCAGGCAGATAGTGTGGCTTTGGCTCCTGTTACAATATATAATGGAAATCCCCCAAACACACAAGAGGAGCCGCGTCTCGTGATGGTTTGAAAACACACTGCACTGTATTGCCGATGATTAATTTTTAACTCATGAAGCTTGCAGGCTGCGGTATAAAAAAGCGCTTCCTTCCTCTGCGGTTTAGCAACAGATATCCTTTCCAGTGTGGCATGCTCTCCTTCCCATCCAAGGCTGAGAAAAATCAGATTTATTTGGCCAAGCTGAGAGAAGGAACAGCCGGGAACAGACTACCGCTATGGGGGCTTGTCTTAGTCCCCCAGATGGTAAGCAAAAAGGAATGGTGGTGGGGGGCATTGCCAAGGGAAAGCGTTTCTGGACGAAAGTGTCAATACTTGTGAGATATTGTGGCAGAAGCCAGGGAAAGTGGCTCTTTTGGACTGCGACACCCACAATCCCCAGTCAAGGCTGGGGACTGCGGGAGCTGGAGTCGCAAAGGGAGTGATCTTTCCCAGCTCTTGTTATGAAGGAGCTTTGTGGCTAAGATCAAACAAGGATAAAACCTAGGGATGGTCTTACAGGTGATGGTGCTCTGAATTATTGCTTATGTTTTGTAAATAGGGAGTTGCTGCACCCTCAAAATATTTTGGTTTTTTTCCCCCCACTTTGCAAAAAGGCTATAGATAAGGATTGGGTCTGGATCAAGGAAAAAGCCTGACTTCTCTGGAGTGAAATATCATAAGGATTGGGTCTGGATCAAGGAAAAAGCCTGGCTTCTCTGAAGTGAAATATCAAGAACAGGGTGCCTCTGAGCATGCACAAAGTGCATTTCCTGCAGCACTGAGCATGCAATGAGCATGCACTGAGTGCATTTCCTGAAGCATTGAGGATGCACTGAGCATGCACAGAATGCATTTCCTGCAGCACTCTTTGCCTGCTCACAGCGACATGTGGGATTCCCTGCCCACAAGATCTGGGGCCCATTCACATGGCACATTTATTGTACTGCAACCTGCAGAATCCTGGGATTTTGAACCATCAATTCCAGCATCCCATAGGATGCAGCAGGGGTAGGTAAAGGGAAATGTGCCACTCTGATGGTGTAGTGTAGGGATGGGCAACTGCACAGGGAATAGGGGCTATTTGTTCTCCCTATGCCTATCCAACAGGCTGCACCAGTGAATTTCAATGCACCCAAAGTGACCCAGGGTCACTTCTGGCCACCATTTTGGCTGCTTTTTGGCCAATTTCCATGTTCTTTTTTGGTGTTACGGGAGAGTTTGGGGGACAGGATAGTTTTTTGGGGGTGTATTTAAAATGAACTGCACTGGGTGACCAATATAAGTAGGTATGACACTACCCTGACATCTGGACTCCTTGGAAATATGCGTCACATTGTCATTGGATTCTGTGAGATGTTGCTCCAACTTAGAGGAATTGGAAACATTCACCCCTTTGGGGGACTAGAACTCCCACAAGCCTCTCCAGTCAGCAGCGACATTGACTGATGCACCCCTGGGAATTGCAATGCCAAAAAGTAACTCTCTCCCTCCAAGCCCTGAAGCCCATGGGACATTGCAGGGATGGCGTGTCAGGAGACTGTGGTAGAAATCTGGGTTTTCTTTTATAAAAAGAGTTCTCATAAACTACTTATTGCCAATTCAGCAATAAGTAACGAGTGCCACTCCTCTTTGAACGGTCCTCGAGACTTACCTTTCTTTTCTCAATGAAAAAGAAGGAATCCAGGAGGAATCTGCTGCAACCTCAAAAGTTTAGGCTTGCGGCTACCTCCAGGAGGGCTTTCTCTGTCACCGCCCCTAGACTCTGGAATGACCTGCTGGACGAGATCCGTCTCTTAACATCATTAGACAGCTTCAAAAAGGCTGTCAAGACGGATCTCTTCCGGCAGGCCTTCCCAGATTAAATATCCCGGTCTCGGGTACAACTGACCCACCCCAGCTGCGATCCTTCGTGGCCCCATCTGAGGATGGTGAGGATCATTATTGCTGGGCTTATCCACTGGGTTAAGCTTTTTTTTTATTATTATTAATTGTAATTAACTGTTTGTCATTTTAATATTCTTGATTTAATACTGTTTTAAGGGGGGAGGGGGTCTGGTGTATTGTATATATGTTTTATGGGTATTGTATATTTTTATTGTTGTAAGCCGCCCAGATTGGACTTCCAGAGGGCGGGATATAAATAATTTTTTTTAAATTATTATTATTATTATTATTATTATTATTATTATTATTATTATTATTATTAAACCCTGTTAGAGGATTGCAAAGATGACCAGAGTCTTCCAATGACCAGAGTCTTCCAATGGACTTTGAGTGTTCCTGAGGAGCACCAGGCACTTCTGATGCACACTCGACATTGTGATGCACACTGGATATTTTTTGATGCACATGGGACATTTCTGATGCACTCTGGGCATCCCGGTTGCAATTCAGCGCTTCCTCACCGGTGACTGTATGGACATTGGGAATGCCCCCATGCCCCCCAATCCCATTGCACATTGCACATTGCACATTGGGGTTGTGGTGCATCAGTCACTCCCCTGCCTACCATTGTCCAATGGACACCCTACATTTGAATGTTGTGGGAGCCCTCGGTGAATACAGGCATTGCAAAAATACTCCGTTCTTTGTCCTGCACATGCAAGTCCACTAGGTCCCATACTGCATCCCAGCCTATATTATTATCCCACCTTTCCCCGCAATGTGGTTTACAAAGATTTGTAAAAATGCAATTTAGCATACATAAAAAAAAATTCCTATACAAGTTATTGCTGAAGCTCAATTAAAAGATGTATAGAGTGGAACCCATTTTCCAAAGCCATGTTTCCAAAGCTTTGGTCGCCTCCTCCTGTATACTTAGAAGCTCTGGGGACTGGAACACAGGAGGAAATTGAAGGAAAGGAGAATTTTTTTACTTTGCCCTGTTTTTCTTGTAAAAAGAAAACAAAAGTGAAAGAGAGATGCTTTCCTATCTTATCCATGTGCCCTTTTGGCACCTTGGACACAGACCATCCCTAAGGACAAACACTTTAAAGAGAGTACATACAGAGTTAATGTTTAAGCATTTTAAAGTGTTTAAAAGAGTTTCCTTTTTCCAAAATATATATATATATATATATATATATATATATATATATATATATGAGGTTTTTGTTTGAAAAAATGGATTAATGTGGTGTTTCACAATCCCACATGTATCTGCTTTCTCCCCACACATATTAACTTTCCTTTATCTGTTCAGAAAACCCAAAGCAAGGCTCCCTCCAGATTTAAGAGGGATGCCATACAGTTAGAAAGCACTAACCATCTCTAGAAGCAGAGCTGTGAGGCTTCCCTTCAACGCTTTGGTTGCATCCATGGGAAGATGCTGAATACCATGGATCTAGATATCCCAGAATCTCTCAGGCATCCCAGGGGATGCTGAGCACCCAACGTTTTTGAATCCTGCACAGTGGAGCATGTTTTAGTTCCAG